CTACCTGCTGGGTTAAGGTCGAACTTGTCCAGCTGTCTAGAGATGCCTCTGGACTCAACCTTTTTGTGCACAGGATGCCAGGAGGACCTGGCACTTGGGAGCTTGCATTTCTTAGCTTCCCAGCAGCTCTGGATGTTACATGTGTTAATATGTCTCTAGTAGACATGGTAATCACCTACTGTTCTTAGAGTATCCAGTTTTTTTTTTTTTTTTTTTTTTGGAGACAGAGTCTCACTCTTGTTGCCCAGGTTAGAGTGCCGTGGCATCAGCCTAGCTCACAGCAACCTCAAACTCCTGGGCTCAAACGATCCTTCTGCCTCAGCCTCCCAAGTAGCTGGGACTACAGGCACGTGCCACCATGCCCGGCTAATTTTTTCTATATATTTTTAGTTGTCCGATTAGTTTCTTTCTAATTTTACTAGAGACGGGATCTCGCTCTTGCTCAGGCTGGTCTCCAACTCCTGACCTCAAACGATCCTCCCGCCTCAGCCTCCCAGAGTACTAGGATTACAGGTGTGAGCCACCGCGCCTGGCCAAGTATCCAGTTTTCATTACTCACGTTTGCAAACAGAATTTCATCTTATAGGCAAGACCCTGATTTAATCCTGGCACATTCAAAGCCCCCTTAATTCAAAGAAGGATTTAGAACAGAACTTCCTTCTCTGTTTTGTAAAACATAGGGAAAATGGTGAATGTGGTTAGATGACAGACACAGGATACCCTCTTTCCCACCAAAATACTGAGAGTAGTAATGGTGTATAACTATTTAAAAATATATCAAGGCCTTTTGTAATTAAATTTCATATATTCCTGGAATTTATCAGAGATGATTAAGTCATTTTTGTTGACATGATTGAATATTAAGAGCACGAAGGCATCAGTCAAGAAGAGGCCATTCCCTAAGACAGAAACTTGAATTACATTTCTCTAAATTAATGCATAGAATTTAATAAACAATGATATTTTTTAATGCAGGGGCAGTTAATGTATAGATCCGGTTGCTTCTCAAGGGCTGACTGGCTAAGGAAATGAAAGAACCTCAATGAGGAAATGAAGGAATCTGAGTTGTGTTTGGCTGATCCAGAGAGCATACGCCCTGTGGATGGCCAGCAGTTCTTGCAGCTTCCGTCACTCTGGCTGTCTGGGCTGTCCACATGGCCCAGATGCATTTAACTTTACTTTGGCTCTTTGGTTTACTTTCATGTGTAGACTTGGGTTCTTTGTAGAGATTTCCTCCAAGAAATTATGCTGACAATCTTGCTTTTTAATTTTTCTCCATTGTTGGCTATGGAGTTTGATCTTTTTGTTTTCAGGCTGATGTTGGGCATTTCTTTATGGAGGCTTTTATGTCAAAAGCCAAAGCCTTAAGACCTTTGCAGGTTAGGTGCTCCTGAGCTGAAAATAACAGAGTAAGAAAAGTGGTAAAAGAAAAATAAAATGCAGAGATTTCTGGTTCTGGGTTAGATGGCGTAGGCACATGCCACCCTGTCTCTCCCACTGTAAAACCTGGACAGAATACATGGAGCGGTGATATGAATATGGAAAAGTAAATGGTTCAAGAGGATAAGGAAAGGACACCAGAATTCAGGGTCACACAACCGGTCATGTTTCCCATTTTTTTCCCTGTGAAATTCCCAAGCCTGGAGTCAAGGCGACTTGAAACCCAGAATTGGGCACAAAGGCACCTATAGAGGGAGCTCTGGGAGAAGCTTTCTAGTTCTGCTCAAGGAGTAGGAAGTGGGACCCCTAATGCTCAGGGAATGGGGTAAATCCCTGTTTTTTCTTTTTTCTTTTTCTTTTCTCTGTTTTCTCATGCTCTAGCCTCAGAGAATTGTGATAGTAGCAGTGATGGTGGTGGTGGTGAGGGGAGAGCAGACACCTAAAACTGAGAGATGGGAAGTTTCCTTTCTTTTTTAATTAAAAAAATTTAAAAGTTAATTTATTTTTATTATTACTTTTAATTGACAAATAATAACTGTCACATTTATGGGGTATAAGGTGATGTTTTGATATATGTATACAATGTGAAATAATTAAATCAAGCTAATTAGCATATCCATCACTTCATTTAGCTATCATTTTTATGGTGAGACATTTGAAATTTACTCTCTTAGTTATTTTGAAATATGCAATACATTATTATTGACTATAGTCACTCTGATGTTTGATAGATCTCAAAACTTATTCCTCTCGTCTACCGAAAACTTTGTACCCTTTGAGCAACAACTCCCCATCCCCCGCTTGCCCCACCACTTTCTATTCTCTACTTCTATGAATTCAGTTTTTTAAGATTCCACATCTAAGTGAGAACATGCAGGGAAAGCCTTCCTTTCTGACCAGAAGAGCTGTAGTCCCAAAAAGAGAGTAGCAAACCCTCATTGCTTTTTTTTCCTCTCACAATCCTCCTGCTGCTTGGCCCTGAATGTGGGGGCAGTTGCAGGAAGTGCGTGGCAGAGCAGGGTAACTACAGCCCCAGGTTTCTGGCCAGGGGACTGAAAAGAGAGCCCAGGAATCTGGAAAGCATGAGGGAGATCACAGAGAGGGAGGAGCTCAGGAAAACAATTCCGTAAGTTTGTTTAGGAACTCCCTGAGCTGTGCATGTGTGGATCTGACCTTGACCAGCATGCCGAAGACCATTAGAACTTAACACTGCCAGGATAGACCACCCTTCTGGTCCCACATGAATGGGTGTCGGACATGGAACACAGGTGCAGCCAGAAGCTTACACTGTGACTCAGGGTAGGGCCAAGAGACGGTCCCTTTGCTTTATAGGCAGAGAAACTAAGATGTATTAATTTGTAGTTACTACTGTAACAAATAACCACAATGTAGTGGCTTACAACACAAATTTATTCTTACAATTCTGTAGGTCAGAAGTCCAGTACAGGCTGGGCGCAGTGGCTCATGCCTGTAATCCTAGCACTCTGGGAGGCCAAGGCGGGTGGATTGCTCAAGGTCAGGAGTTCGAGACCAGCCTGAGCAAGAGCGAGATCCCATCTCTACTAAAAAATAGAAAGAAATGATCTGGACAACTAAAAAAATATATATATAGAAAAAATTAGCTGGGCATGGTGGCGCGTGCCTATAGTCCCAGCTACTCGGGAGGCTGAGGCAGGAGGATTGCTTGAGCCCAGGAGTTTGAAGTTGCTGTGAGCTAGGCTGATGCCACGGCACTCACTCTAGCCCGGGCAACAAAGTGAGACTCTGTCTCAAAAAAAAAAAAGAAGACAAAAGGCAGACAGAAATTGAAGGAAAGAAGGAATAAATCGGTGTCAGCATTATTAGCTCTTCAGACTAAAATTATGGACTTTGAATGTTCAGTTGTGCAAACATAGGTCAGTTCTCCCATTCGTATTGGCAAGCCATTTATAGAGAGCACACACTTGAGTCAGAAAATTAAATATTTGGTTTCATATCCCTACTGATTGCTATTTAGAAGTGTCTGAAATTGGAGAAAAAACATATATTCACCATCCCTACTATTAACTAACTGACACTCTGTGTGTTTGTGCAAATCAGGAAATGGATTTAGCCAGATTTTGATGCTGCTGGTAGGGGAAGTTCAAAACAATAAAAGTTCAGACAAGTTCAAAGCAATATCTAGAAAGTTATTTTGCTTAGACAAGGGCCATAAGCTTAGTGGAATGAAACTGAAATGAACTTTCATGTCCTGATAATGTTTTTTTCCTTTTTTTTTGCAATGAACAAATAATCACTTAAATAGTAAACATAAAGTGGGAAAATAAAAAGAAGAGAGAAAGCTCATTTAGTGGCCTGAGAGTGAAGCAATCTGGATGCAAATCTTTAATTTACTCATTGATTCACTCACTCATTTATTCAACAAATATTTATTCAATAAATATTTATTTATGACATGTGCCAGGCACTGTGCTAGGTGCCAAGGATGCAGGCATACAATTTTTCTGGGCCTCCCAGGTTTCATCTGGTGAAATTGAGAGGTAGAGACTAAAGCATCTCTAAAGTCCCACTAAGATGCGATGGCCAAGATGTGTCTGAGTCTGACTTTCTTTGTACTTGGAAAATCAAGCAAAAATCTTGTGAGGATTCATGTGCCGGAAACTCAGAGGCCATGTCTCCAGGCAGTGTGTTAAGTCTAGGTGGGAAGGTGCTGAGTGGGGCTCAGTGCGATGATGTTTGGTTTTATTGCTTAGTGGTAGCTGGCTCCTAGCCTCAGATAATAGAGGGTGGGAGGAGTGGGGAGGGGAGAGGAGGGGCGGGAGGTCACAAAGACGACCCTGAAGCAGAGGAGTGAGTTGGGTCAGCTTCACAGAGGGAAGATGCTGGGAGGAGGATGGACAAGGCTTCCTCTGAGGGGAAAAATTGAGCTGATGAGTTACTGAAGGAAATCCCGGTTATGTTCCTCATGTCCTGTACTTAAAGGAAAGAAAGAACACTCAAGTATATTTAGAAGAAATTGTATCAAATGAAAGGGGCTTTTTCTTGATCATTTTTAATTAAGTAGAAAAGTAATCACAATACTATGTCAGCTTTTGTTTTTATTGAGGTTTAAATACAGCTAAGAAGTTCTATTCTACTTGAGACAGAAGAAAAGAGAATGTGTGTGTGTGTACACGTGTGTATGTGTGTGTGTGTTTGTGCTGTGATTAATTCACCTAACTGTCCGTGAGTCTGTTATAGCCTACTGGGAAGATTAGATGCACACACTGGTAAATTCAATGGAATGTGGAGGCGTGGGGAATGCCCAGGGGTTTTGGGAACCCAGAGTTCAGCAGGGGGATGGGGAGACAAGCCTGATGTTCTAGAGACGACCCCAAGGTGAGTGTTGAAATAAGACAGACTTACGCAGGGCATTATCAGACCCCAAGAACATTAGCAAACCACCATCCTGGAAGTAGTAAGGCAGAATATCTTTCCTTAGGCCAGGGGATGCATTCATATTTCAGTTCAAAGTGCATGTTCAAACTGTTCTCTTCTGTCTGTGTATGAAGCTGACATATATATATATATTTTTTAAACAGGTAATTTCATGCCCCCAAAATGGGACATAAAGTGGTCGTGTTTGACATTTCTGTCATCAGAGCCCTTTGGGAAACTCGTGTCAGGAAGCACAAAGCTCGGCAGAAGAAGGAGGAAGAAAGGCTCGAGAAGAGTGCATTGGAAAAGTATGTGCTTTCTGTACCTGGTCTTGTAGCTCATTTAGTGAATGGGGCTTTGGGCAGGCAACAGTTGTGCTGTGGACGAGGATGCTTTTCTTCCGAGATTTCTCACTGTCGGTGACATTTTCCTCGTTGGACTTCAGAACCTCGCAGTGTTGCCCAAGATGAACACTGGATTCCTGTAACAGTAGTACCCATAATTACAAGGATGTACATACAATCCAGGCACTGTGCTAGGCACAGGGAAACAGAGATGACATAATAAATTCCTCTACCCTAAATGCTGTAGAAAAGTTCTCAGCTGCTTTTCACTGAACTCACTAGGCTGCCTGATGCATGCGACACCCACGTAAGCCACCTGGTGGCAGCCCAGGCAGCTCGGGGCTACCCTCTGTCATATATTTCATCCTCCCCCATTGAGCTGAATTCTAGATAAGAGTCATTGTGTTGGTGTCATTTTTACTTGGATTAAAATGATGTAATTGGACTAACATATAAACTCATGAAATATGAGTAAAAGAGAGTTATCATGAAAACCAAACTGAGTGCTTTGGAAAAACTGCATTTATGATAAGTACATTTATGATAGCCGTACGATTGGGTTAGCACTGTATAAGGATGCTGAAAGTATGACAAGCTAGAAAAGTTGTACATTCAGGTGGCTTTGCATATGTCTGTTAATTTTATTTATATTTTTATTTTTATTCCTTTGGAAAGATCCAAAACTGGAACTCTTGGATGAAGCTTTATGGGTGTCACTTTACAAGAAAGGTACAATGTGATTTTGATTGGCAGACCCATTCTCAAAGGAAGTCCCTGACCCTATGTCAAGTTGGCAAATGGTGGTGTATTTGTATGCTTTAAGTTAAAAACAAAATGTGTATAGTGTGAATGTATCTATATTCTTGGCTCTCCGCTTTTATGAGATTTTTGGATTGGATGCATGTCTATTCTGATCGTGTTTGATAATTAAGCTGCCACTATTTGTATCACAGTGGTTCTAGGTGGTTATCAGCATCCCTAATTTGCAGATGAGGAAGTTAGGACCTAAGTAACTTTCCCAAGTTTACCAAGCTGGTAAATGGAGGATTTAGCCAAGCTCTTTCCTCTACATAATGCTATAATCACAGATAGCTGAAACATCTTTTCACTTGGCACTAATATGAGATTACCCAATATGATATGAATCTTGAATTTAAGAATTGAAACTGTCAAACCAGACAACACTCTTGGCAATGGATCTGAGAGACTGACACTGGCATAATCACACAAGGTCCCAGAGCCCCACGAGCCCAAAGTGGCTCTCAGCCCTGCTTCAGCTTCCTCCCCATTCCTGCCATCTGGGGTCACTCTGGCATGTAGTAAACTTGCTGCATGGGGACCCAATCCCTGGGGTGGGGAGGCTTAAGGAAGTGTTTGTAGCTGATGGAACCTCCTGAGGTTCCTGGAACAGAAGCCATCTGCAGAGATTGGGGTCTGCAAGCTGTGTTCTCTAACCTGCTTTGGGGTGTATCCACCCTTCAGCTCTGTCACTGTGGTGGTGAACATCTCCACATAGCTCATGCACACAGCATTGACCCTGAATTAGGCTCAGTGTCGCTGAGCTTGTGCTGTGTCTCATCTTAACCTAAGACAGAAAACTTCTCGGGGATTTGTTAGGCATTTCTCCAAGTTGGGTGGGCAGATAGGAGGAATGTGGGTATTTAAGGAAGGAATATTTAGTTTCTCAGGACCTTTGGAAATTTGCCTTCTTCGCAGGTGTTTTTGAATTTCCATAATATGATTCATATTGTGATTATTAGTACTATTTGAGGGTCAAATTAGTTTCTTAGGATCTGTTTCCTGTGCAGAAATTGATATATTGAAAAACTGATGAATGCCTGATTATAAAAGGCAGGTATCTGGTTAATTTAAATTTCCTAAAACAAGCAAAACCCTCCAGCTTGTTCTGTTACCTCACTTCATGGCATTTCATCTTGTGATGCTGTATTTGTTCCATGAAGTATAAGCCAACACTTAAAAGTTGTAAGTAGAGATAAAATATGGAATATCACTCTGAAACTCAAGCATGTAGAGGGAAAAACAGAAGAACTATTGTTAGGCTCTCAGTATGGAATTTCTTATCCAATGAGGCTAACTGCCATCTGGGCTGGGATTATGGGTTTATTTCCTAAGGAAAAAAGTATTTTGTTTGCACATTTATTGATTTAATTAGTAGAACCCTAATGGCATTGTTTTGTATGTTTATCTCATATTTTCTGTTCCACTAAAATTGATTCAAGGGGAAAATATCATATTTAATTATATGGGCGATAAAGTACAAAAACAGTGACATTTTATTTATTTTAATTACTCTTAAGGAAGAGAATGGAATTTTTAAAAATGTTTGTATTCTCATCTTGCCTTTCCTATCAGGTTTCAGAGGGAATAAGACATAAAATGTTTAAGAAAGAAATACAAAATAGATTTGGCCTATAATTATTTTTAATGGGGTATGTCTAATTTCCTTTTTTTTCCATTTTATGTTGGTTGTACCAAGATATGTGAAATATTTATATCGATTTGTAATTTGTTATATAGGAAGGATGTATTAAAGAGGGCTTAACTGGTGTCATTTCACTACATTACCAGAATCTACCTTTAGGTTCAGTCTAAGAAATGAGGATAGAAAAGTGAGAGCCGTTAACGTGACAAGTGCCCAGTGAAGATGAGCACTCACAGCAGCCGTGCTGTTGATCGCTGAAATTTCAGAGGAGCTGCTGACAGAAGGCCAAGCAGCGAGTCTTAGAACTAGGGTGCACCCTCATCCCTGGCTGCTACACTCAGATCTAAATCTATAGGTAGAGATTTATTAATAAAATTTATTTTTATCATATGGCTATTAAAATATTTAAATCATATAGGAAAGCTTATTAATGATGAAAAGCAACAATCTCAAGCTCCTGCAAAATCTGCCAGAGGAAACTACTTCTAATTTTTTCAGCATTTTCTTCTGGTATTAAATTCATATCCCTTCATGTGCTGGTATTTTTTTAATTTATTACTTTCATGACATTCCTCACAGACTTCCTGTGTCGATCCTGAAGCCCTGACTAGTTGATTGCTGGGTGATTTCCCCAGCGCAGCTCACTGTCCCTGGGACCTGTGTGGCTGTGCCAGCCAGTGCTAGCAGAAAAATATTTTTTTGCAAATGTTCCTGCTTCCCTCAGCTTAGTGACGAGCATGAAACTCCAGGAATATGCAAAGTGGTTTCTCAGGAGCAAAATGTCTGATTACGAAGATGACATTTGCACATAGACCTGGGCGGCCAGCCCTGCAGAAATCTGGGAACAAGGGTCCCAGGCAGACATAATGGCCAGTGCAAGTACCCTGAGGCAGGGGTTTTCCTGGGTGTCCAATGAAGAGCAAGGAGGCCAGCGTGACTGGGCCAGAAATGCAAGCGAGAGGGCAGAGGCAACGTGGTCAGACTGGCAAGGCCAGGGGCACAGGTCTGTAGGGCCTTGCAGGTCGTACTGTGTGAGATGAGAAGCCAATAAGAGGTGACGGCAGAGGCACAACGTAATGTGATCGACATCGTGACAGGCTCACTCTAGCTGCTGGGTGACTTTAGACTACAGGGAGGCCCGGGTGGTGCCAGCAAGCAATGGCAGTGGCTTGGGTCAGGATGGAAGCAGTGAAGAGGATGCAGAGTGGCTGAATTCTGATAGAACTGACCATATTTGTTGATGGATTTGATATGGGGTGTGAATATGGAGTCAAAGATGACCCTGGGGCTTTTGCCCAGAGCAACTGGCAGCCTTTCACTGAGATGGGAGAGGAAGCATGTTTTGGGAGTGGAAATCAGGAGTTTGTGTTGGAAATTACTAACTTTGGGATGCCTTTTAGACATGCAGGTGAAGACATTGGGGAGGCAGTTTGATATAGGAGGCTGGATTCAGAGAGGAAGTCTTGGCTGGAGATATAAACTTGGACATGATCAGTATATAGATGTATCAAAAGCCAGGAGGCTGGATGACACCTAAAGAGGGAGTGTAGACAGGGAAGAGGCCCTTGGAAGTCCAGAAGTCGAGAAGCTGAGGAGGAGGCAGCAATGTCTAGAGAGGTGGGAGTGTAGTGTCCTGGAGATCACAGGATAAGCGGGCTGCAGGAAGGAGGAAGTCATCAGTTGTGTCAGGTGCCACAGGTGGGTCAGATAAGACGTGGACTGAGATTTGACCACTGGGTTTAGTGAAATGGTCATCACCGATGACCTCGATGAGAACAGTTTCAAGAGAGGTGAGGATGGCTGGGCACAGTGGCTCATACCTGTAATCCCAGCACTTTGGGAGGCCCAGGCAGGTGGATGGCTTGAGCCCAGGAGTTCAGGACCAGCCTGGGCAACATCGCATGACCCCGTCTCTACAAAAAATTAAAAAACAAAAAAGAGAGAGAGGTGAGGGCGACTGAAATGAGTTCAACAGAGAATGGGGGAGAGGAGAATTGTAGATGTGAGCAGGGACAATCTTTCACGGAGTTTTGCTGTAGAGTGGAGCAGAGTTGGGAGATGTGATGTTGGGCAAAGCTCCCTTTAGGATGGGAGGAATAACCCATGCCATGCACTGAAGGGAGTGATCCGGGAAAGGGAAAGCAGTGAGGGAGAACTGCTGCAGCAGTGTCCTTGAATCAGCGAGAGGCTGGGCTTAGTGAACATGGGCATGGTTGGCTACTGGTAGGATCTGGGAGTGAACGGAGGAAGAGGCTGCAGGAACAGATGCACTCAGGTGGCGTCCATGTGGTGCTGGGCATTTGTGGAAGTTCTATTGTTTTTCATCTTTCCTCTGTGAACTAGGAAGTAAGGTCCTGAGCTGAGACTGGGTAGGTGGTGCTGGAGGTTTGACTGAGAGGGAGAAAATGTGAAACAGTCACTAAGGGCTTGGGCACAGGAACGGGTGGTGTGGCTGCTGGGCAACAGTGGGGCTCCTTGGGGCTAGTGCTCATCCGAGGCCAGACCAGTTTGCAAAGCTGTG